TATATATATATATATATATATTTTTTTTTTTTTTATATAATTCCTGCTCTAAGTGGGTTGCTCTGTCAGCTAAAGGCATACTTACAGTCTCTAAACTCCTGATAAAATGTTATTTTATAAAATGTTATTTTATCAGGACTCTTTAATCATGACAGTTTGTGAAATGTTTTGTGAAGGATGTCAGTAACTTGGAAACAACTGTCCAATCAGCAGACCATAATGTAAAACCGCTGTAAAAAAAATTAACATCATCTGGTGTTCCAGGTGGCGCATTGGTTGGCATACACGACCCATGAATGGAGACCTTAGCTTGATGCTTTCAACCCGGGTTCGAATCCGGCGAATCCAGTGTTTTCCTGCATGTCTGTCCCTCTCTCTCATATCCCCTTTCCTGTCAGCCTACTGTTGGAAAATAACCGAGCCACTAGTACCGTTAAAAAAAAAAAATTAAAGGTCATCTTTCATTGACCCTATAAAGTATGATATTAAAACATTAGCTGTAAACTCCAATCAACAAAAAAGCAGTAGTTTGTCCTTTTTTAAGTTGAATTACTGACATTGAAAAACTTTCATTCCTAATGCACTATCCTTTTCTCTGTTTTTATTTTGCAGCATCATCTTCTGTGAAGCTGTTGCCATTTATGGGATCATCATGGCTATCGTCATTAGCAACATGGCGGAGGTATAGAAAAACTCTCCTGTAAAGCTTTTTCCATCATTATAAACAATAAAAGTAGTTCTACATAGTGAACAATGGGAGCATTGAAAAAAGCTGGAGGCCTGAAATACAAAACTGTAATCCTACGGAAACGGTAAAACAAAGAGAAGTTATTGTCCCTAAAAATAATCTCTTCTCATCATACAGAACTTCAGTGCAACAACCCCAGAGACCATTGGAGCACGAAATTACCAAGCTGGTGAGATAACCTGCTCGCATGTCTGAGTTTTAAAGGGGAAAAAACCCCAAACAAACTCATTTTGAATTGCTTCTTTAACATAAAGCTGAAACCTGAAAAAGGCAATTTTAAGTGTGAGATTTCATATATATTTTTTATTTCCCTTGCTGTGTGAATTGATCCCATGATTTATTTCATCCCATGCACGGCTAGGTTACTCCATGTTTGGAGCTGGTCTCACTGTGGGCTTTTCCAACCTTTTCTGTGGGATCTGTGTGGGCATTGTGGGCAGTGGAGCCGCTCTGGCAGACGCCCAGAATGCTAGCCTCTTTGTGAAGATCCTTATTGTGGAAATCTTTGGCAGTGCAATTGGCCTGTTTGGAGTCATTGTAGCAATTCTGCAGGTAAAACACACTTTTAAGCAATACTTCTTGGCATTTACCTGCATTTACTGTTACATTTCTCTAATATGTTTCTTTTCTTCTTCTCTTCCAGACCTCTAAAATAAAGATGGGCGATTAGATGCTCTTACATGCTGAGAAGAAAAGTATACTGCTGAAAAATCAGATGGATTATTGTGTACATACATCGTAAATTATTGGAATGTCTATATTTGGTGTGTATTGTTTTTAACCATCATTTGTATAAGAGTGGGTTGATCCTAAGGAAGCTTGCATGTTGAATAGGGAAAAAGTGTTTTTTTTTTCTTGTGCATTTCCTCATGTTCTCACCAGATAATTGTAACAATTCAGCTTCATGACTCATGGAAGTAATCTGCAGCTTTCAGCTGTGAGGCTTTTCTTTCTTTGAGAGGTTTTCTTGTATAATCTTTCAGACCACTCTTATTCAATGATGTTTAAAACTGAGTATTTGAAAATAGTGTGTGTGTGAATGCAGAACATATGATTCACCCTTCTTTTTTCTTCCTTTCTGTGAAGCTTGAGGACGTTTGTGATTGTGCTTGTGGTCTGGTTTGTCAGTTTTTGTTTTTGTATTTGGAAATCTGAAGCTGGGCCTTTCTGCAGGTGGTTCCCATACAGTGTTTATTTTTTTCCGTTCCCTAGCTCCTAATAGAAAACATTTATGAATTTCAAATTAAGACTATTGTAAAGTTGTAATTGTGCAACATATAAATCAGAGCAGTCATTCCCAAGCCAGCCATTTGTATACCACACAGTTCTTGCTGTTTCAAAACAAAAATTCATTTTCAAATTACAAGACATGACAGGCTGTTTAAAAGTTGTAACAAACTAAAGGAATCTTTTAGAAGACGTATATACATTTTATGTTTTCAAATAAAATGTCCATCATTGCCTCGTCGCAGCCATTTTTGTTTGTCGTAGCTTCATTCACCATCGTTCAACTCAGAAAAAGATGAGGCATGTTTGCAGTAAGAAATTGGTTTCTTACTCAGTTTAAATCGGTCTCAGTTGATCTGATACTTCAGATTATTAATCTTTTACTTGATACTTTTTTTTTGTATGTTTGTATCCATTCTGGTTTAGATATGTGACAGTCAAATCTGCATTATCTGCTTATTGTTTACCAAGATTTAACCAACATTCCTCAAATTGTGTGACATTTGTGGTTGTTTTGAAATGGAAATCAAGACAATGTGACTTCTAAAATATCTCATTAGCTTTATTAATGCTTAGACATTTGTTTGTAAATCCTGTTCATTAGGAGTCTTTCGGGGATTTTAAATTGAAGTTGCCTGACAGAAGAAAATATTTAAAGCAAGGCATTCCCAGAGATGATACAGTTAATTTTTCTGTTCCCTTTTCCTTCACTGCTTTATTGCAGCGTAAAAATCATATCATACATTAGAAAGGTGCATTGTATTTTGTTAAACAAATCTCATTCTAATTAAAACACCTAAAAGAAGATTTATGATTAAAAATGGGCTACGAAATTCTATGAAATTCTGGGTTTGTAGTAACTGTAGATGGTACTGTGTATACACTGTGTTGATGTGATGGTGCTCAGAAAATATCCCATTGTTTTTAACATTGTGGAAGATGCAAGCAAAATCTGATTTTCCTTCTGGCTCCATAAATGTTGGGAAACAAAATAAATGGTTTAATCAACTTTTTACTGTCTGATCTGTTTCATCAGTATTTCATAATCAGTGGCGTCTTGTTGCTGAACTCCGTGTAACCTGGCCTGCTGTGTTTCAGTGCACTACCACTAGATGGCGACCTAGACCATGACTTTCTGCTCCAAACGGGCACAATGAATTTTACTCACAGATCTTACGGGCAGTTGAACACAGAGCATAAATTTAACAACATTGTAATGGGCAAAAACAAACATTGAAATGTATTGTAGTAAACTTAAAACTATAGCAATACAACAAAAATATAAAAAGAGATAAACTTGCTAAAGACCTTTTGTATATGGTGTGCTGCACAAGTTCAAAGACTTAAGGCCATGTTCAAACATACAATAAAATTGTTAATTTTTGGAGCACTTGTTCAGTTCTTCATTATAACATCAAATGTAAGTAGACCTGCTTTATAATCATAAAGTAAACGGATGTGTATTAATATGAACAATGAACCTTATTTAAACTGTAATGTTTCAGTTTTTCTGGTTATAAGAAAGATTTGACATTGGTCTGCTTCAAAAGGATCCGATATGTAGGCCTGCAGAGCAAAGCAGCAATAAAAGTTATATTGTATCTCAGTTTTTTTTTTTTTATCTTTATAAACTGATTTTCTATCTTTCAGATGATTAGGGCCACAAAAAAAAAAAAAAAAAAGTTAACAGATTTTTAAATTCTGGCTTTAATCTCAGAATGATGACTTTAATCTCAGAGTTCTGTCTTTCATTTCAGAGTTCTGTCTTTTATTCTCAGAATTCTGACTTTAAACTCAGAATGCTGACTTCTTTTCTCAGAATTCTGATTTCTTTTCTCAGAATTCTGACTTTAATCTCAGAATTCTGACCTTTTTTTTCTCCTCAGAGTTCTGATTTCTTTTCTCAGAATTCTGACTTTAATCTCCCAATTCTGGCCTTTTTTCCCTCAGAATTCTGACTTTAAATCAAGTCAAGTCAGCTTTTATTGTCACTTTCTTCATATGTACAAGACATACAAGGGAAATGAAATTACGTTACGTTTACTCTCTACAATATACAAATTTGCAAGAAATATACAAGACTGACAAGAAATATACAAGACTTCTGACTTTGATCTCAGACTTCTGACTTTAACCTCAGACTTCTGACTTTAATCTCAGAGTTCTGTCTTTTATTCTCAGAGTATATTTTTTTACTCAGAATTCTGACTAATCTCAGAACTCTGACTTGAATCTCCGAATTCTGGCTTCAATCTCAGAATTCTTTTCTCCCATATTAAACAGAAATAAAATGTAAAAATCAGTTAACTTTTTTTTTTTTTTCGCCCAGTGGCCCTAATCCTCTTCCGTATTTATTGAATCAATCAATACCTCCTTTTTTCATTTTTAACTTTTTTATGTTAGAGTTTGATTTTCAAGACTTTGCCTGAAGCACATAGATTCTTGTATTTGTAGATCTAGTTGTATGTATTCCCAGCTGTATCTGTTCAGTTTAGCAGTGATTTATGATAATCTTTTCTGTTGATAGAGAGCACCGCGATTCTTCTATCACTAACATCACCTGTTCAGTGTTTTCTATTTTTTAATAATAGCATTGTACATGCTCGGCAATTTTAAAGGTTAAATTTCCATAATTTTATCAGATTTCTTTTTAGTTTCATCAGTTCGTTTGTTTGTATCTATCCATTTATTTAAATGGCTGATTTATAGAAGTCGGTGTAGCATCGTTTACGCATATCAAAAGTGCGAAATAGAATCTCGACCGCGTAGGCTTCCGTAGGCAACAAGAGCGAGGGACCTGCTCGCAGCCTCATCCTCAGACAGCATCATTCCTACCATCCTCTCCCAGTGCGATGACAGGAAATCTGGAAAACCCAGGGATTGTTTCTTCTCTGTCGGTTCGCGCATCTTTCCGGGTGTGTTTGGGGTTTTGGGCTCAGCGTGAGTCTGCTTCCTCGGTGAGGAGGGGAGGACATCACAGTCTGCGTGTTCACACAAAAACAACACAGAGATCCTGATCACAGCCACATCTCAACCTCCTGGGTTTCGGAGGGTTTCTACATTTTAATAGCACGCAGATTTACGTTTCTCTGCTGGTGTGAGAGGAGCTGTAACAGACACATCATCACGGTAGGTGCTCTGTGTTTGCATGCTTTGAGGTATTGTTTCCCTCTGCCTGTAATATACATGCATGCTTTGTTTGTCTTCATTCTTCCAACACAGAGACACAGAAGTCCTGCAGCGCACATTGCGTTGCATTCGACCAAGTTGAGGAGATCAGATCTCATCTGCTGCCCCCTGCACCCCTACATTCCCTCTTCAGGCACATTTCCATGAATTAGCAGCATCCTTACACCCGCCATACTAGGCTTACCTCACCCCTCCATATATTCCTGCTCAGCTCCTCTGGCTGCTGATGTGAATCAACTCTTTCTACTCCAGCAGTGCAATTTTCTGAGAATTGCAGGTTATTACGGATTCTGTGCACTTAATAGACCCCAGCTGCATGTCTAATGGTGCAGAAGGAGCACAGGTGTGCACAGGTATTGAGGAAAAAATTGCGAAAATTATGGGATAAAAAATAATGCATCTTTATCAAAGCTCTCTCTCTCATTGATGGCAGTATCTCATTGTAACAATGTAGATATAGAAAGTGGACTGGGATTACCTTATTTCAGACTTTTAAAGGAGATTTTGTTTTGGTGAAAGAGATGGAGTTATTTTTTATCATTATTCCTGTTTGGTCCAATTAATCTTAAACACTGCCTTTTTAAATTGTTTTTATTTATTTTTCATCTACTCTATACAAGGTTACACTCTGTAAAATAATCAGATTATTTAACCAGATGATAATTCTGTAATTTACCACTTGTTCTGGAAAATATAAGATGTTCCTCCTCCTGTTACAGGAAGCCTAAAGCGATATTATGGGACTGTATTTGTTAATAAAGCACCCTCTAACTGAGTTTCCAAAGACTCAACAGTTCAGTAAAGACATATTTTTTGGGCCATATCAGCTGAAAATAAAGTGCAAAAAAATAAAAAAGGCAATTAGTAAAGGCTGAATCTATTTAGCTGCTTTAGATGCAGGTCCACCCTCATTGCTCTCTGGGAATACAGGGCAGCTGGTATTGTCAACGAAAGGACTGGAGATTCTTTCATTGACTGCAGATTTAAGCAGTAAAGTGTCTCACTATTTGAGGTGAGTCATTTCAGTGAAAGTAGAATTAGTTTGATTAGGTTCTCGCCTATGACTTCCAGTGAAAGATATAACATCAGTAGACGCTGTGGAAAAGGGATGGCTTTAATTAACTGAGGTAATTTTCTTATGCTGTAGAAAAATGCACGTAACCTTATCTGTTATTACTTCCATTACATTTTAAATTTCAAGCTTTTGATAGAGCAGAAATGTTGTGCAATAAGTGTTTTTAGGGAAGTTTTTTTAATGGCAATTACTTTATATTATCTGCATGATTTTGGTTAAGCATTTTCTTTGTACTCTTCCACATGTTTTTATCTACAACAATTTGCTGGAATATTAGCCCATTCCTCCATATATAGCTCTGTGTTCATGTACCGTTTTAGCTCAGCTGTCAAATTTGATGTGGTACAAAGATCAGCGTTTTGTTTGGGCCACACCAAAATTTAGATTTTTTTTTGTCTGCTTAGAAAAATCATTTGGGCATCTGTTGGATTCCCCGGTGTTAAAGAAACTAGAGATGCTAAAATTCTTTTTTTTCATTGCAAAGTAACTTTGTATAAACTTGGCTGTATAGAATCCCTTTTTTGGACATAATGGACAGACTAAACCATTTTGTTCCTTTAGATCAAATGAGATGCTTTTAGAAAATGAAGGTTTTTGTCACTCTCTGCATTTAAATGCATAAAGTAAAAAAAAAGTTGTTGTTTTTTTTACATTCTTTAATTTAAAATATACCTATCTTAATATAAACTGCCAGTGATAATGGACAGAAGTAGAATAGAATAGAATTCAACTTTATTGTCATTGCACTGTCACAAGTACAAAGCAATGAAATATAGATTGAACTCAAGGAAAAAAACAAAAACAGTGTCTCAGATACCCTTCATCAGTTGACATCCCTTAAAGAAAAAGGTCCTAATAGACTCAAATAATAGATATATGCATCTGTTATGTGCTTTCCTTAAAAAATTAAATAAAAAAATAACAGAAGCATGAAGGGAAACAGCTTTTATGGGCTGTTGACACTAACTCATCTGTCTGACTATCCAGACTAGATCCTGGGCCTAAACACTCGAGGAAAATGACATTTTCACATGAGGTTTTGCATATATCTTTTCCAATATATACACACATCTTTCAGAAGGGCTTAATTTAGGTCAAAGTCAACATATTTCTAACCATATGTAAGTTATTTAATTCCTAGACTTCCGTTTTCCTCATGGGTCAAACACAACATATAATAGCAGATGGGTTTTGGATTTAAGTTCCTAGTTCAAAAGTACCATTTGACATCAGATTAGGCCAGTCTATCTTCATGTGTATATTGTATTTTCATGATCTATGTGCAAATGAATGAAGAAACCATAGACAACCCAACTTCATGCTGTAAGGAATTCAAACCCTGTAGATAGTGAATCGTGCTGACCACTATCCCACCAATACAGCTCAATTTCAAATAATCGATAAAATGAGTAACATGTTGGTATTCATGTTTTCATATAAACCTTATTACAGAAACTATGTTAAAATTTTTCAATAATCAGTTGAAAATCTTGGTGGTCAGACGTGCCAGTGGTGCCCCGCTTCTGTCAGTGTGCTCCAGTCAGCTGTGGCTACGATGTAGCTTACCCATATCGGGCTGTGAATGTCTATATAAATATATTATTGTAGGAGGTAGACCAATATAGTTTTTTTTTAGGCTGATGCTGATACAAATTATTTTGAGATTAGTCAAACCGATCCTCAATATGTACTGGCAATTTTATGGGCCAATTTTTTTAAGCCAGTTTGCTTTTTTCAGCCATTTACATGATAAAAGAAGACACAGTGATAACAAAGGTTGCACAAGTTTCAATTGAAACTTAATTTAACTTTAACTTAACTTTAATTTTTATTGAAAAGCAAACAAAACATTAACAATAGAAGGAGCAACAATGGATGTGTTTCATGTGATTGCCAGATGGGGCTGCTGCATGCACTAATGAATTTGAGAATGCATGCATTTATTGGGGGATTCCGATTTAATGCAAAAAAAAAAAAAAACGCTCAAATCAGCCTAAAATGTCTTGCTTAGTGTGAAGTATTTTGAAGGCCTTGTACTGTTTATAATTTATTTTTACCAATGTTGCTGATCTGAAACCAGGTTTTTCCACCACTTTCTTATAAGCCTGAAGGGACGCCAGGCTTTACTGCACCCAATTTAAAAATACTTTATTAATCCCAAAAGGGAAATTCAGTTTAAGTACAGCAAAAGAAGACAAAAAAGAGAGAAAAAGACCACAGTGGGTAAGAGGAAGAAAATTCCCCCCCAATAAAAGTAAAATAAAAAATTGGCACAAGATGCTGCGAAAAGCGCCGCCCTTATGTGTTTGTCAATTACTCAAAAGTTGACGTAACTGTTGCCAATTACTTATGATCATAGTCTTTATTATAACATGGAGCAACTGCAGCATGGGGGAATCATTGCTCTGGTCAGATGCCTGGACCTTTAACTGATCAGTCTCTTAATGCCTTGTTTGCACTTTATGATAAAATGACCTGCATTGCATTGCTTAATTTCTGATTCCCTGGATTCAACTGAACTGCAAACAATTTATATTTATTTTAACAGCTTTTTGATAATTTCGATAGAAGTTTAACAGCGTACCATTTTTTTTCAACAGATAGAGTTAACGTATTGTCAAAATTATATTACAATAACACTTTTTTATTTTCAACTTTTCTCTCTACTTCTCACATTTTTATACCAAACTATGGTGGGCTTCCCTAGAGGTGCCTACCAATGGCTGACCCTGATTTCTCGGGGAAAGCCTGGCAATATGCCTACATCTTTATTTTAAGGGCTATTTAAATGAAAGTCTTCAATTAACTTAGCATCTATTTGACAAGAAAAACATAAGTAACTTTTTACACCATTTTAAATGTGCAGTAAGGGGTTAAAGTGTTGTAAAATGCTGTAGTCAGTCCTCTGGAGTCATTTCTGCTCAGTCGAATGGATTCAAATAAACTGGTTACGCTGACGCCAGTGAACCTTCCATTTTCCCTGAAGCTTGTTGAATGAAGCAGTTGCTTTGTTTTTTGTTGTTGTTTGGCTTTTATTTATGCTTTTATACTCATTAACCCCACCTCACTGGTCCCAAACAGCGACAGCATGTGATCCATTCCTCCGATTTATCCATTGTTGAGATTTTTTGTCATGGGGCTAACTAGGTCGTTTCAAGTTATTGAGCGAGTTACGGAACCCAGCCTATTGTGAAAAAATATTAGGTCCCTTTTAAGACGATAGGAAATTCCTTTTTTTTAAGGACATGGCTGCTTATCAATGAATCGTTAGTTGATCAATAAGATCAGTTAACTTTAGATTATTGCATTTATTGATCATTTGCATCCTTGTTTTTAGCACTTGCTTATTGTTATTTTTCATATACTACCAGACTGTCTCAGACATGAAAAAGCCATGGAAACTGTTTTTCTTTGCTCAAAACATCTGGCTTTTTCTCAGAATCACAAGAGCGTCAGATTTTCTCATCTTCATTTGTTCAACAACCCTTAAAAAAAAAAAAAAAATATTTCTTCTAAGACTTCTTCCTCACTTGTCAAAAACAATCCCTCTTATGGCAGGGGAACAACTACAGTCCCGTGTGGAATTATAGAATACACCATACCCAGTGGCGCTTCTAGACCAAATGTACCAGGGGGCCAGATGGGGGCCATAATTTTTTCATGGGGGTATAGAAAAGCATGAAATAAAAAACCAGGCAAAGGGTTTCAAATATATTAAGAGAGCTGCATGAAGTGAAATTTCTATTCAATTAGGTTTAATTCAAATTCTATCTCTTATGAGGTCAATATACATTCATAATTTAGGAATTTTACATATGTTCCACACAATTTAAGTTATAATTAACATTTTATTTAAAATCTGAAG